TCGGTATCCTTCGAGCTCTCCCAGGCCATGACCGTCTCCCTTGTCGGTATCCTTCGAGCTCTCCCAGGCCATGACCGTCTCCCTTGTCGGTATCCTTCGAGCTCTCCCAGGCCATGACCGTCTCTCCTGTCGGTATCCTTCGAGCTCTCCCAGGCCATGACTGTCTCTCCTGTCGGTATCCTACTAGCTCTTCTGGGCTGTGACCCTCTCCCTTGTCGGTATCCTACTTGCCCTACTGAGCTGTGATGCTCTTCCCTGTCAGTGTCCTGCTCACTCTCATGGGCTGTGAGCCTCTCCCCTGTTGGTATCCTACTGGCTTTTCTGGGTCGTGACCTCTCCCATTGGTATCCTACTCTCTCTCCTGGGTTGTGACCTTCTCACCTGTCAGTATCCCATTCACTCTCCTGGGCTGTGACCCTCTCCCCTGTTGGTATCCTACTTGCTCTCCCAAGACTTGACCTTCTCTCTATTTGTGTCACCCTCAGCCCGCCGCCCTGCCGCAGCAGAACTTCTCAATGCACGTGGCTGTCCCGGTGACGAACCCCAGTCTGTCCTACAGTCCTGGTGGCTCCCTGGGTGATACTGGGATGCTCTCCCCGACACAGGGTTCTCTTCACAGGAGCGTCATGTCCCCTGGTGCCCCCTCGAGGCCATCCAGCACAGGGAGTGCAGGTCAGTACCAAAAATCTACTCTAGTTTGATATAGATATACTTACGGACCTGCTAGTCTAGTATAGATTATACTGACCTATGATGCATGCGTGCTGTGTGTGTAGATCTGCTGCCGTTCATGAGTGCTCAGCCTGACCTCCCTGTCCACCCCCCCGCCCCCCAGGTAGCTTGTTGGTCACCACAGACCTCACAGCTCCCAATGGCACTGGCTCCAGCCCTGTGGGTAAGTGTACAGAGCCCCCCCTCACAGGAGTGAAGTGTGGAGAGACAAGCACACTGTAGTGCAGGACGGTTGCTTTATGATTTGTTTGCGGAACGAATGGCCATGCAGGCCGTGGGTGTCACTGCGCCTATAGAGCCCCTGATCAAAGATCAAACTGCCTCAGGGTAGCAGAGAGTGGGGTGCTGTGGAGGATGGTGGAGGGGGGTTGGGGCTAGAGTTACATAGCTGATTGGAGGGTGAAGGTTACACTGGCCTTTCAGGGAATGTGGGTGGTGGGTGCTGTTTTAATGTCAAAGGTAGGAGGCAGATGAAGCCGCTGCTGTAGTCATGTCATCCGATTAGCCAGGGATTTCTGCTCTGCTCTACCCCAACCCTACCAAACGCAGGCAGCTCTGCTCTACCCCAACCCTACCAAACGCAGGCAGCTCTGCTCTACCCCAACCCTACCAAACGCAGGCAGCACTGCTCTACCCCAACCCTAACCTTAACCCTACCAAACACAAGCAGCTGTACTACACCTCAACCCTAACCCTACCAAACACAGGCGGCTCTGCTCAACCCCAACCCTAACCTTAACCCTACCAAGCACAGGCGGCTCTGCTCTACCCCAACCTAGCCCTAATCTTACTAAACACGGTGTCATTATGCTTCTCCTAAACACACTTTTAGCCGGTATGTGTTTCCCTTGGTACTGCCAGGGGCTGTTAAGAATGAAGATCCTTTCCTCCACTGTATTATTGTATTCTTTACATGGGGGCCGAATGCTGATGTAAGCCTTATACGATGAGGGAGGGTGTCATTTCTCCTGCTGCTCCTGCCATCACCTTGGTCCCCTGTAGGTGACGCCCCCTTCAAGGCCGACCTCGCCTTCAGTATCGCGATGCCCTTTTCCCCACCGCTGACAGGTGTCTCTGTTTGTAAGGCCTTATAAGGACCTGACCGCTTCATGGCCGGGCCGGCATTCCGGACATGGGCTCCCTCCCTGGCCTTTGCGCATGGTGCTCTGATGGCCTGTCATGGCGGCTGGGTGTCGGGTTAAAGGTCGTGGCAGATGGCGTGTGGCCTGGAGCACTGCCATAGCACAAACACACACACCCGTGTGCGCACACACACCACTGCCGTGTACTTATCACTAATCTGTTTTCTCACTAAGTAGCCACTTCTGTTAGATGTTCAGATCGAGTTCAGCCACGGTCCTCTAAGGCGAAGAAGAAGAAGGGCTTCCTTGGTGCCCGGAATCTCAAACGTTGATAGTGTCCCCCCCCCTTATGTGGTGTGATTGAGACCAGGTGCGGCCTGAATGGCAGATGTGCTGATGAAGGCTTTACGGAGCGCCAGGTCCCTGTGCCGCCTTGCCCCCCCCTCCCGCCCTCGTCTAATGAAAGCCCCATTTGCAAACTCACTTCACTTCCTGGGCACCATCTGCCTTAATTCCTGCGGCTGATTCGCAGAGGCACAACGCGGCCTGCCAGTCCTCAGGCGGCCCCCATCCAGCCACCCTCATGGGGGATTAGCACGTGGTTTTATAAGCACGTCTCTCTGAAGGACCAGTGGCCAACTGCCTCTGTGGTAACAATCAGGATCCGTTCATCTAAACGAGCATCACCATCCAGGTCAGCAACATGCCTTGTAGCTGATAGAAATATTCACGTTCACTAGTACTGTAGTAATGATGGTTTTAAGATCTTTGGTATGCAGCCGGGTGGTGCTTGGCTCTGCTGCGCCGTGGTGGGGCCCTGGCGGGCAGTCCGGGGAATCTTGGGACGCTCTGGGCCCTGCTAGGCGGATTGGGGGGTTCGGTCTGGGCTGGGCGGGGGGTCTGCCGCTCCCCGGTCGCCGCGGGTCCGTTTACGGGTGGGGGCTCTTTGTATGGGCCCCCCTTGGATCATCCTGCAGCGTTGGGGGGGAGGCGTGCCGGGTCGCTGCGGTGGGCGGCGGCCCGTCCTGCCGGGGGACGGGCTGAGGGGGCTGGGGCCCTGGACCCGCCTGCCTCAGTGGGGGGGTTGCGGGCGGGGCTGGGGGGCTCGCCGCCCGTCCTCCCTCTGCGGGCCTCCCTGTGCGGGGCTTGGCGCCCCCTTAGTCCCTCTTGGGTTGGGCGGGTGGTTGTCTCGGGGATGCGTGGCTGTGGGCCCTTGTGCCGGGGAGGGGCGGTAGGGTGGCCTCGGTTGCCTGGTTCTCCTGCCTTCGCCTTGGGCTTGGGGGGGGGATGTCCATCAGGTCACACCTACACTTGCACAAGAATGGTTGAGCGATCAATATCATTATTATTATTACTTTTTAGGGTATGTTATAGATTTAGGAATTGAAATATACATGTATAATGGTATGATTACGTGTGTGTATGCTACATATATATAATACCGATTTGTCACATTATTAATTATTATTAGTATCACTGATGTTGTTATAATTCTTGTTGTTTGATGAGTGTTATGTTTCTTATGCTTGTTTGTATTCTGTATTCCCCTATACTTCATTTTTTTCCATCCCACCTACATTATTAGTGTTATTATTTCTGTATACCTTTTTTTTTTCTCCCCCTCTCCCCATGTTGATTGATGTCTGTTATTGTTACGCTTGTTGTTTCTGTATCCCCCCCTGTTTTTCTTTTTTTTTTCCTTTTTCCACGGTACTGGTGAGTTCGGAGCAGCCACACTCTTTGCTCTTGAATTTAATGTAAAATAAAGTTGTCCTCCGAAGAGGGGGGGTGGTGGTGGGCAATAAAAAAGGTATGCAGCACTAATGCTTCAGAACCTGTTACTGTGTCCAGAAGCTTTGCATTCATAACACTTCCAATGAACATGTGACAGCTTGAATGTACATTAATAACAAACTATATATGATTATATGACTTGCATGTTATTAATGTATATTACAAGTGTCATTTTTTTCATTGAAATTGTTATTGATGTAGGGCTTTATGATGTAGGGCTTTATGACATGTTAAAACATACTAACACTGCTTATGGATGCTCTTTGAATGCATTTTGATGGTGTGGTTAATGTAAAGTGTTACTTTGCATCTTAATCATTTTATGGTACTTTATTAGGCTAAAAAGAGGCGATTCCTGTCTGTCTGGATACCTGACTGACTCTGCTTTCCTGCCAAATCAAAGCCAGATTAAATTGGCCACCAGCATGCTTGAAATTTACCACGTTTTCGTTAGGATTTTTTTTTCCATTTGCAGCATTTTCATTATGATTTGTATTATTGCGGTTGCTCACCAGTAAAAGCAGGCATTCTGGTGTGCAGCCTTCACTGGTTTGTTTGCTGGTTGGCTGTCTCCTCCCATCAGCAGGCTAACTAAGGCCTGCTCGCTCTCTTCATGTGCGTTTGACTGTAGGGTTCCCTGACGGTTCATATTTATGCTTCTGCATCTCCTGGTGATGGGCCGGGGCAGAGCTGTGTTTTTAATGTCTATTTTCGGGGGGATTTGTGGGTGCTGTGCAGCCTTTGATTTGCTGGCCTATTTGTTTGTTGGCTGCTTATCCTGAATGAGGTGTGAGCCTCTCACTATGCCGTTAGCGCCGCTCCTCTGTCTGTGTGATTCGTCCCGCACTCGTAGGTGACAGCTTAGGGTTCTGTAGGGCTGCTGAGCCCTTGAACTAGACGATTAACCTGTTTGGCTCTTAATGGCTTTTAATTGGCACAGTGGCTTGGTGAATAAGGCATTTGTCAACAGGGGCC